GAAGAAGAAGATATAAAGCCGAAAATCAAGAATTTGTCTGGAGAAAATGACAAATTGAAGAAGAAGATGAATGATACAATAATTCACGTCAATGCTACTCAAAGAAGATATCCCAGAAGAATTTTCGTGAAGAAAATTAATGTTGGAAGAATGCATGAAATTGACTTGGAGATCAAGCATCTATGGAAAGAAAGGAGTACATCAAATATGATTGGAGATTTAATCAAAAGCTGTACGGACGAAGTGGATGATGCTTGATATATTATGCAAAATGGCTCAAGTTCAAAACTCACCATCAAATTAAATTAATCTCTTGGGTGGCAATTGAGATGCAATTGCACTTGGGAGCCAATTTCGAAGTCAAAGTCAACAATTCAAATTGGGTGGAAGATCAAAGCCAGTTTGAAGTCTGAGAACACCCAGACGTGAGAATGAAGAAGATGAAGATGAACTTACAGTGAAAATATTCTCACAAGGAAAAATACTAGTTTTAACTAGTATGGGATTAAATTGATGAATATTTTTAAATCCCAAAGATACAAAGACCACTTCAGAGCTAATCAGAGAAGCCGTTCTACACCCAGATATTCCCACTCAACGTAAAACCAAAGGAAATATCAGATGAAGTTTGAGAACCCATTTACATGGAGATGAAGCTCTAACAACGGCTAGCTTATCCTTTCTGACATCTTTGCAGAGGATAAGATAAGATCTCTGACAAAAAGATACAAGATTTCAAAAATGAAAGCGTCTCTTTCCAACGGACAGATTCTCATTACCAGCTATAAAATGATGAAGATATGAAGACTTGAATAAGAGCATAACACGAACTTGAAAAGAGATAGAGCAGTTGAGAAAATTCGAATCCATAAAAGGGATCGAATAGAGCAATTAAGCTTGAAAAGAGCTTAGAGCAAAAATCTCATTTGGTACAGAACATACCAAAAATCTTCAAGTGAGAAGTGAGAAAAGAAAAAGAACTCAGAGAGCCTCAAAGAGAAATATTCTGAGAGTTCTTAAACAGAGCAAAGCAGAGCAAAAATATCAAGTGCTTTACTTGATATATTCAAAGAGAGAAAACACTCAGAGCTATCAAGAGAAATCATTCTAGAGTGTTTATCTTCATCAAAGAGACCTGCGCATCATTGAAGATCATCTACAGAGTCTCAGAAGTTGGAAGCAAGACAACACTTGTTTTGGAGCAAAACAAGAGAAGGGAGGAAAGTAGCACGGAGCTGTGAAATCCTGGATTGTCACACGGAGCTGTGAGATCTGAAGCAGCAGTGTCGGAGGCACTGGGCGTGATTGGTGTAGGCTTAGTGATCAAAGCACCAGATCACGGGATACGTTTCTACCGGAGTGTGGAAGACGGGGGGAAAGTAACGCGGAGTCGTGAAATCCTGGGATAGTAGCGCGGCGACGTGAAACCCGAAGCAGCAGTGTGGTGTCACTGGGCGTGATTAGTGCGGGCTTTGTGATCAAAGCACTAGATCACGGAAATTCATTGTATCTTGGAACTAAGAAGTGGTAGATATAGTGAATTGCTCTTGGAGATAAGAGCAAGTGGAGTAGGAGGATTACACCACCTCGCGAACCACTATAATTGTCTTGTGTTCTTTACTGCTTTCTTTACTTACTGCTCTTTACATATTCGCTCTACACGAGATATACTGCTCACACAATCTCACACACACTTTATGTTTACTTATTTCCGTTGTGCACCATACTCTAACAATCTAGTTAAGAGTTTTGGTTTATCTCTGGCTTAGCAATTGTTGTGCTGTGCGAAAAAAGTTTGAAAGTCTATTCACCCCCCCCCCCCCCCCTCTAGACTTTCACCTTACCTCTTTTGGGACCAACATAGCCATTTATCAAAAGCACCATCCCAGTAATCATCACAATCTCCAACAATGAGTCTGTAGCCTGCCTTTACTGTATAGCAACCTTTTGGGTCCCCATGCCAGTGTCTTTATAATCCAGGGAGATTGGTATCTTTAAAATTCGTGTCACATCACTCGGCTGGAAAATATCAGACAAAATATGGTGATCCCATGTGCCAGTTTCTTGATCTATCAAACCCATTATTTTCGCTCCAGCCAATTGGGGTGGCATTTCAGTTTGTATCATATGGTCTTGATCATCCTGGAGCCAAAGATGATTCCATATTAATGTCGATTCTCCATCCCCAATACGTCGTCTGGCACCACTATATATTAAACCTTTTGCTGCCATAATGCTACGCCAATAAAAGTTGGGGTTATTTCCCAAACATGCCTCAGAAAAAGTTTGTTTGGGTAATACCTGGATTTTTATACTCGCAATACCAACGAATCAGTCTTTGTAAGTAGTCTCCATGCCTGCTTTGCTTTCCCAACATAGCTAAATTAAAAGCCCCTAAATCCTTGAATCCCAATCCACCATATTTCTTAAGGAGACAAAGTTTGTCCCATGCCTTCCAGTGTATACCATTTTCCGTTCCATTCCCCCACCAATACCAGTTCATAACTCGTTCCAAAGTTGTGCAGGTAGATACAGGTAATAAAAAGACACTCATTGAAAAGGTTGGCATAGCTTGCGCCACACTTTTCAATAGGACTTCCTTACCTGCTTGTGAGAGTAGCTTTTTATTCCATAACCCAATTCTTTGCCTGATCTTGTCCTCAATATACGAAAAATCAGCCTTCTTATTTCTTCCCACAAAGGATGGGAGGCCCAAATATTTCCCAAAATTCGGTGCACTCGTCACACCCAAGATCTGCGCCACTACCTCCTTGGCATCTTCTCCAGTGTTTTTGCTAAACCATATACTTGATTTATGGTAGTTGACCACCTGTCCAGATAGATTCTCATATACAGTCAGACAACTCTTAATCTCCTCCGCCCCCTGAACATTGGCTTTAAAGAATAAGATAATATCATCTGCAAAAAAAAAAAAATAAGTGAGTGATAGGTGGGGCTCCTCTAGCAACTCTGCATCCATGAATAGATCCCATAGTCTGGGCCTGCTATAAAAGCAAGGATAAACCCTCTGCACAGATAATAAATAGGTAGGGAGATAGTGGATCACCTTGTCTTAATCCCCTGGTTGGTACCAAGTGCTACTCCGTTTTCCATTAATTAAGAAATTATAGGAAACCGTAGTGACACATATCATAATCAGCTCAACCCATTTACTGTCATATCCCAGGGCCAATAGCATACTGCGTAAAAAACACCACTCCATACGATCATAAGCTTTAGCCATATCCAATTTAAGAGCCCCCCAGCTTACATTTCCACACTATTTTCTATTCAGATAATGACCAACTTCAGCTGCCAAGAGAATATTATCAGTTATCAACCCCTCTGGTATAAAGGCACTCTGTGACTCAGATATAATTTCCTCCATCATAGGCTTCATTCTATTCCTGATCACCTTAGCCATAACCCTATACAACACATTACTTAAGGCTATTGGTCTAAGGTCAGATACTTGTTGTGGAACACTTTTCTTAAGGATCAAAACAACATCCATATCATTTAAGCCAGTCGGGAGCGAGCGAGAATTTAAACATTGGACAATAAAACTTGACACATCCCCTCCTACCACATCCCAAAATTGTTGATAGAACCTCGGATTCATTCCATCAAGGCCAGGTGCCTTATCAGGAAACATAGAAAAAAGTGCTACCTTAACCTCATCCACATTAAACGGTTTGAGCGGGGTTTCATTATGTGTGGGGGTGGCCCGTGGCACCACTGAATCGAAGAAGTCCTCCCATCAACAGGGTGATTAGAACAAAAAACATTGTCAAAATAATTTATTATCACATCACGCATGGCATCCCCTTCGACTAACTCCCCCTCATTATATTCATAAGTCTAGCAATAGTATTCTTCTTTTTACGGTGAGAAGCATACCTGTGGTAAAATTTGGTGTTGGCATCTGCATCCTTGAGCCAGTGCTGCTTGGCCCTCTGCCTCTAGTATACATCCTCCTGGGCCTCTAGACGAGACAATTGTTCCTCAACATGTTGGAACTCAGCAAGTGACACTGAATCCATACGCCCTCTCAGATGCAATTGCTCCTTTCGTAGGCTCAAAATCAACTCCCCAAACTTATGGAAGCGGTCTCCACCCCATCTCTGTAGGCAGGTTCCACAGAACTGAATACAACTCTGTAAATCCCCTCCATTTCCTGCATCCCATACTTCCTGTACCGCAGGCCTACAGCCCTCGTCCTTCAACCATGCCATTTCGAACCTGAAACCCCTCCCCCCATCCTTCCCGTTTCTTGAGATTCATAGATTCCCAAGAAGAGGGCAAAATGATCAGACATGCGGGTTAACAGATTAGTTACTCTGGCCCCTGCTACTACATCTCTCCAACTATTCGACACCAAAACCTTGTCCAGTCTCTCCTCTATCCATTCGGTTGTTCCTTCCCCCCTTTCCCATGTAAACTGGTAGCCCTCCATGGTAGGGTTGATCTGGCTTTCAGCGATTTCAACAAATCCCACGACTCTTGCCGTCTATTACGTTCCGGAAAGCCATAGTAACATGTCATTCGCCAATTAGGGAAACCAGCAATATTCATCTCTATATCAATATGGTTGCGAGAATAACTCATTAGCCTCGCCGTATTATTTCTTCTCCAGAGCAATGCTAGACCACCACTTAATCCCCTATTATCAACATAAAATAAACCGTCAAAACCAAGCTTGACACGAATGCGTTCAGCATGCACTCGCCCCACCTTGGTTTCCATTAAAAAAAAAAAAAACAAAATCAGGCTGTTTACAGGACGCAAGGTCCACAACTTCGCGAACTGTCTGTAGATTGCCCAAGCCACGGTAGTTCCAACTAAGATACTCATTGGGTCGGGCGGGTCTGGGAACCACATCCTCACCATTCAAAATCTTATTCCCGCCACCCTCCCCCTCTCTGCGGCGTTTAGCAACCGCCACCACTCCTGAATTACCACCGTCATAGCCCGGTCCCACACCCAACCCTTGCTGCCTCTCAACCGCTACTGCCGAATTTAATGCCGGTACCTGCCAGTAACAGCCAGCTGCCGCCGATCGGCCTGGGGCCGCGGGAGCCTCCTGCTCGTAGCTCCGGGCCGTACGGGTACTCCTCTACTGACATCACAGAATCCCTCGCCTGACGACAAAATTTGTATACATGACCTAGCATCCCGCAAAAGAAACAATACGTATGTAACCATTCGTACCTGAACGAAACCCAACAACTCGTCTTGTCCCGCTTGATGAATTTCATGCGCCGTTTTATGGGTTTATCAATCGGGAGCAAAACCCTAATGCGATAGAAAGCTCTCCACGGCACATCCACAAAACGATCATCACTCTTGACAAAAGTTCTGAGGAAATTTCCGATATGCTCTAATATCAACTCGGACGTATACCCCATCGGCAAGTCGTGAACCTGAACCCACATGTCTACCATATCAAGAACCACACTCGCCTGCATGGCCCCATCTGGCACTTGTTTGCACACCAAGGTACTATTGCCAAAGGACAATGGTCCCTCATTCAGAACTCGTTGCACATCCGTTATATGATGAAAAACAAAGAGGAAAAGACCCGGTTGTATCTCCATAGCTTGAACACCACTTACCGGGTGCCAGTCTGATGCCGTAACATGACTCATGAACTCGAGCTTAACCAACTTTCTTGTCAAGAAACGACCCACGATCCCCCATGATTCCTCTACACTGCCGGCAACAACCCCCCCACCTTCGGCCTCCACCGTTGGCTCGAAGCTCGCCTCCTCCTCTTCAAGAACTAGATCAGCCCACCTAGCGGTGAGCCCTGCCATGCCTGCATTTGTCGATGATGCAGCCATGACAATCATAAGATGAATCCATGTAACGCCGGAAGCTATACCGGAGAGAAAGTCGAAGAAACGACGTGAAACCCTAGAAACCGTAGGTAGAGAGTATTATCATCACATGGTCCACACAATAATTTGTTGTGGATATATCATAAATGAATTCGGTACAGATCAACCCAAAAGAGACTGAACTCAGCAAGTTGCGAGGCACTTGAGCCGAGCCCCGCCGATACGGTCGCGCCAAAGTAAACTCCCTGACGTGTAATTTACCATTTATTAAAAAAAAAAAATTATATGGTTTAGATTGCTTCGACTTTTTTACTCGTTCTCTGTCTTATTTCTCTCTCTCTCTCTCTCTTTCTCTAGCGTTGTTTCTTCTCGTATCTTTCTCTCTCTCCTCCATTTTTATCTCGTTTCTTCTCCGTACGTTACTCTCTCTCGCTTTCTCTCCGGTGCGTCGCTGATATGCTGTTGTTGTTGTCTCTCCTCTACTGCCTTTGACGGTTGAACCTTCTTCGGCCTTCCTTTCCCTTCGGCGTGTACAGATCAGTGAGCACGCCCTTCTCGGCAAGCTTCCTCTGACGAGCCTTGGTTTTCTGGCGGTATCATAGTGGTGATGAAAGGCGACGTCAAATGCCCCTCTCCGGCAGTGGATCTCCTTCGACGGGACCTTGTTTATTCAATTTGCAAAGTTTTTTTTTTTTTTTTTTTTTTTTTTTTTTTTTTTTTTTAGTGGTGATTAACATTTTTGCTTTTTCAATTTGCAAAGTTTATTCTCTGTATTTTGATAATCAATATTAATAATTTAAAGATTTTGTCATCTCTAGATTTGCAGGTTCCAAATTACCATTTTAAGCCTTTTTACGCAGTAATCATATTACAAGGTATTCATTTTCTCTTCTTTTATTTTTTTATTATGTGTTTTTTTTTGTCTTATTTATTTGATTTTACTATGTCTTTCTCTTGAGATTGGTAAGAAATAGGTTAAGGAAAAAAATAGTTCTCTCCTTTTCAAATTATTTCCTCCCCTCTAGTTGAATTTTTGATGTTCTTTCTTTTATTTTCTTATCTAATTTGAAACTCTAAATTTAATTTCATGTATATATTTGATTTTGTCTTCAATTGAAACTCTTTCATATGTTTTGCAGTCTATGGAGTTTACCACAATTACCTATACAGATGTTTTGGTCTTCCCCTCAATCAGTGCTAGATATTAAATTTTCAATTTTAGTTCGGCATTGTGCATTTATGCCTCTTATACAAGCATTGCCACTCCATTGCATCTATAAATCAATTATCTCAACAATATTTGAGGCCCTATTCCTTTCAGCCAAGGGAGGAAAAATAAGCCAAAAACTTGAGGATTCTAGTGCATTCATATGTCAAGGACTTGTGTATGTTATTACAAATGAGATGAGCAGGGTGATTATGTATAAGAATTATGATATGTCTTATTATGGTAATTTTGTGTATCTCTTAAGTAATTGTATGTAATGAGAGATTTTGCCTTATTATGAAATGGTTAGTTGAAGGGGTTTTGGCACATGCTGATATTTTTTCTTTCTTGTTTCCTAGATGTTATTGTTTTCCTTTTCAGGGTGCTAGAAAACTTGTATAATAGAGCATTATAACTTACATAATTTTCTCAAGTTCTCAAGAAACCATTAGTTTCCCTTTGATGTTATATAACATAGAATCGTTTTTTCCCCCATTAACAGAATTCATACAACATAGACTTGGCTCCCTTTATAATAGTAAAATATCATAAATTTAAATTCATTTACAACAACAAAATAAAAAAATTAGCTCTAGTTACAGTAACAAAATAGCATAAAGTTGCTCCATCTCCATCTTCATTTACAGCAACTCCCTTATAGTGGTTGTAACTAGCAAAATAGCATAAAGTTGCTTCATCTCTATCTTCTAGTGGTTGTAACTAGCAAAATAGCATAAAGGACTAGCAAAATAGCATAAAATTGCTCCATCTCCATCTTCTAGAGGTTGTAACTAGCAAAATAACATAAAATTGCTCCATCTCCATCTTCATTTACAACAACTCCCTTATGGCAGTAAAACCATCAAACTACATACTGGAATTAACATTTGAACCAAAGAATTGATTTGACTGTAAAAGTAAAACAAATGAAATAAAATTTTATTACAAGTAAATTATTCAAATAAAGTGAATATAAAAAAATGATAACTCCATATGCACTAACATATTATTACCTGTGACATATTTTGGTTTAGTTCTATATTTCTCGTATCATATACTCCTCTCCAAACTTGATTGAAGTGGACCTATAAATTAGCAAAATATATATATTTAGTAAAGTAGCAGTATACCATTTGTGTAAGTGATAACTCACAAATAAATACAAAACAAAGTATACTTAAGCTTGAAGTTGAATGTCACTATTGGGCTGGTTGTTTGAAGTAGAAGAGTAACGAATATAATGACCTCCATCTAGTGATGTCGGAATCACCTATCAATATCAAACAATTCTTTTTAACAAAGTATAAAGCAAGTAATAGCTAAATTAAATAATCATAGTAATGCAAGCATGTCTTACATTGCATTAGGGGACCATGTAAAATCCTTGCAAAGGCGTCATTGGGCTTGTTGTTACAAAACTTTCTTGTGTCCCCATTTCATCGACTTTATGAGGAGACGATGGAATAGGTACACAATCAATATCCCCATAACTTATAGAACTCTACAACATTAAATAAATGGAGTGAATATAAACTACTTGTTGAGTTTGTCTCATATATGGATTAGGAATAAGTGTTTGTCTCATACTAGGAGTAGGAGTGAAACGGGTAAACCTATTGTATAGGGATTGGATGCCTATAAATATATTGGTTGTATCCCTAAAGGGTGTGTCACCACTATCACCATTACTATGAATATAAGAATTGTTTCACTCCCGTGGATGTAGGCACTTTGCCGAACCACGTAAATCTTGTCTTCTTTACCCTTTCTGCCATTATTATTTTTCTTGTTCTTGTTTAATCTCAACAAATTGGTATCAGAACATAGTTGAGATGGCTAGTTCAAGTACAAAATTTGAGGTATCAAAGTTTGATGGTATAGGGAATTTTGGGTTATGGCGGTCTAGGGTAAAGGACTTGTTGGCATATCAGGGCCTTCTGAAAACCTTGAAGGCAGAAAAGCCAGCAAATCTGGAAGAGGCTGATTTGGGGGAGTTGAAGAACCAGGAAGCTACGGACGTGGTGCATGCTGATGACTCTTATTATAGTGAAGGTGATGTTCTAGCGGTAACTAGTAACAAGTTCGAACATTGTTTGGACTTGTTGGGCGTTTCTAGATGTTAGATGAGAAGGTGGTGAGGGGCGCTGTAGTGTTGGGCAGCGCGGATACCAGGAGGGGTCGTGGACCTGGTATCGGTATCGGTATGGGCTTATATGGGCTCGGTATGTGCCGTGGGCTCGGTATGTGCCGGTATGACATTGGTTAGGGCCGATATGGGTTTGGTATGGGAGGACCTCTCGGGACGACGTAGAAGTTCGTGAACATGCATTGGGAAACGTTTGATGTTGCGTTGTGCGTGTTGCTGGCCAGTGGTAATTGTTAGTTAGTGGAGCATTGGGCAAGGCACACGGGTTTAGTGTGACTTTGCAGGGGCGCTGTTGTGTTGGGGCAGCGTGGATACCAGGAGGGGATATGGACCTAGTATGGGCCAGATGCAGGAAGTCAGCTGAACGGGGCAGTTAGCATGAGTCGCGACGGTATAACAGGTCGACGGCTGAGGGGCGAATGGCTTGGAATAAAGCGGTTCGTGTACATGTACTGGGTAACGTTTGATGTTGCGTATGCATGTGGCTGGCTAGTTGGGATGAGCATGGTTGTTCCTACCCATGTGTATATGTGAGATAAGTTTTTTTTCTCCTAAGGGGCATAATTGTGAAGGTGGAGGTGTTGAGATAAGTCTTTTCTCCTAAGGGACATATTTGCTAAGGTGGAGATTTGTTGAGTTATCTTTTTCTCCTAAAGGACATATTTGCGAAGGTGGAGATAGTCTTTTCACCTAAAGGGCATATATGTGAAGGTGGAGATGGTGAGATAAGTCTTTTCTCCTAAAGAGCATATTCGTCAAGGTGGAGATTTGTTGAGTTATCTTTTTCTCCTAAAGGACATATTTGCAAAGGTGGAGATAGTCTTTTCTCCTAAAGGGCATATATGTGAAGGTGGAGATGGTGAGATAAGTCTTTTCTCCTAAAGAGCATATTCGTCAAGGTGGAGATTTGTTGAGTTATGTTTTCTCTTAAAGAACATATTCGCCAAGGTGGAGATTGTTGAGTTTGTCTCATATATGGATTAGGAATAAGTGTTTGTCTCATACTAGGAGTAGGAGTGAAACGGGTAGACCTATTGTATAGGGATTGGATGCCTATAAATATATTGGTTGTATCCCTAAAGGGTGTGTCACCACTATCACCATTACTATGAATATAAGAATTGTTTCACTCCCGTGGATGTAGGCACTTTGCCGAACCACGTAAATCTTGTCTTCTTTACCCTTTCTGCCATTATTATTTTTCTTGTTCTTGTTTAATCTCAACACTACTGATCAAATATAAACAAATGAAATCTAATTAATAAACATATCATATTTGTCTTTGCCGTGATATCTTTGGATCCTTCTCTTCAACTTGTTTCCTTTTCTTTTTCTTTTTAAGACTTTCCACCACTTGTTCCAACCTTGAAACTCTTCTTTTAGTTGGAGGACGACATTTTCTTCTAGTAAATAATGCCCGCCCAAAATATATATTTCACATATGTAGGAACCCAACGTTGTCGTTCTTTGTATAACCCCTCTAACCAATTATTCTCATTGAGATCATAGGGTCAATCAATAGTGACCATACATTTTCAAGCTCATCTTCATTTAAAGAATCATACATTGATATGTAATAATGGTTTTCGGATGGCGTCCTGACAAGCAATTTAACCATGATTGAAATAACCACACAAATGAGTTAGTGTC